TCTTAGAATTCCTATTAACTTCACGAAGTTTTCTGAACTTTTTAGAATTTCGTTGACTTTCTGCGATATTTTTTAAAGTTCTTCAAAGTTTCCGGAATTTTCACGGAATTAAGTATAATAATAAATAATTTCATTAAACAAAATTCCCTTAACTATAACAAGGTTTCCCAAACTGTTATGAGGTTCCCAATTCACAGACTTCAAAGACCTTCAAGAAGCATCGTAGAACTTATGAAAGCTTCGTAGACATTAATTGAAATGCAATGAAATTTTGAAAATATTCTAGAAGTGCAGCCATTCAGACAAATCAGCTAAGTTTACAGATATCCAGCAGACTTTGTGGGAGTTCATTAAACTTCTTAGAACTTCGGTGAAATTCAGTTGATCATGAAACTTTAGATAATGTTTTGTAGAAGTTCAGAATAAATTGTTGAACTTCATCAAATATTGCGATAAACTAGCGACCTTTATAGAAATTTATCGAATTTTGTAGAAAATCAAGGAACTATGCTGAAGTTCAGTGATTTTTCTTTAATCTTATTAGTGATGTTCACAGGATATCTTCGAAATTCAGGAAATTTTAAGCTAATTTCGAAGAGAATAAAATCCAAGAAAATCGTAGAAATTGAGTGTGCTTTGTAGAAATTCACGAGAAAACATTATACAACTGGGAACCTTATAAAAGTTTGGGAAACTTCGTTCAGTTTAAGTGAATTTCGTTTAAATTCTAAGAAGATCCTTGAACATCAAAAAAATCTCAACACTAGGAAGTTTTGCGAAGTTTCTCGATGTGATACGCGTATGTAATTCTCTTGACAAAATTCTTAGAATTCCTATTAACTTCGCAAAGTTGTCTGAACTTTTTAGAATTCCGTTGATTTTCTGCGAAATGTTTTGAACTTCTTCAAAGTTTCTGGAATTTTCACGGAATTTCTTGATCTATTTTAAGTAATAATTAGTGAAGTTTTTCAAATTAAACAAAATTCACTTAACTACAACAAGGTTCCCCAATCCTGTTCTGAAGATCCAAATTCATAGGCTTCATAGACCTTCAAGAAGCATTGTAGAACTTATGGAAGCTGCGTATACATTCATTGAACTGTGTTGAAGTTTTGAAAACATTCTAGAAGTACAGCAATTCAGAAAATTCAGCTAAGTTTATAAAAGCCTACTTAAAACTTCAGAGACATTCAGTTGAACATGAAACTTCAGATAATTTTATAGAACTTAGCAAGTTTCGTAGAAGTTCAGAAAAGTTTGTCCAATATTGCGATAAATTTAGCGAAATTAAACGAATTTTGCAGAAAATCAAGGAACTACGCTGAAGTTCAGTGATTTTTCTTTAATCTCATTAGATATGTTCAGAGGACATTTTTGTTTATTTTTATAGAATTTCCCAAAAGTTCATTTAGCTTCAACGTTCTGAAATGTTTAAAATATCATTTGGAAATTCTGTAAAAAATCTAGAAGTTTTTAGGAACTTCAGGGCAATTTGAAGAAATGCAGCTAACTTAATAAGAATCATGAAAATTTCGTTTAATTTAAGCTAATTACGTATATATTTCAGGAACTTCGTAAAACGTCATAGCAATGGTGAGATATTTTTTTTAATTCAGCCAAAGTTATAGAAGCTCCGCGAGTATTGTAGAAGCTTATCATGATCTTCAGAACTGTAGGTTTTGATTGTGGTACTTTCCGGAAGTTTTAGGAACTTCGTTTCGCTCAGAACTTTAGAAAAATCCGTAGAAAGGGTTCAAAGCCATTCCTAAAGCTTGGAGGTCATGGGTGATCTAACATCCTGATAGAATTGGGAGAACTATAAAATATTGAACTTGGAAGTGATGGAAGCTTGTAGAAGATGAGAAAATTTTCAGGAAATAAAGCTAAGGAAACTTTGCAGACATTCAAGGATCATTAGAGCAATTTTCTGCCCCTCAGAATTTTTTTTTGGCAGATGACACCTCCGCCTAAAATAATAATAAGGATCATCAGAAACTAGTTGAACGCCTTAACGTTCTTAATGCTCTTGAAGAAGAGTCCAAAACATTTCCAGAAGTTCTGGAAACTTTCCCAATGTTCCCGCAGTCTGTTCAAGAAACGTCCCAGAAATTCTTGGAACTTCTTCAAAGTGTTTCATATTTTCGTGAAGTAATTAGGACTGCCCTAAAGTTCTTGGAACTTCCCTGAAGTTCTCACTATTCTCCTGATGATGTTCGTGGAATAGCCGAGAAATGTATGGGACTGTTCTGAATATCTCTGGACTTCCTTGAAATTTTCGAACCAGCTTTAAGGTTTCCACTGTTTTCCCTGAAAGTAAAGCATGTTGGAATTAAACTGAAGTTTTAAGAATTTTCCATCATTTAACGTAACATAATTAAACTTTCCTGGAGTTTTGGCAACTTCTGTAAAGTTCCTGCTATTTTGCAAAAGTCAATTGAACTGCCCTAAAGGTCTCTAATCTTCACAGAAGTTCTAGAAATTGCTCTGGAGATTTTTTGGAATTATCACAGAGTTTCCACAATTTTGCTGAAGTTCCTCTGAACTTCTTTGAAGTTTTCTTCACGTCCTTGAAGTTCTCTGTATATTCTTGAAGTTCTTAGAATTTCTCCAAAGTTTCATCAGTTTCCTTTAAAAAAAAAGTCAAAATACCAGATTTTAAAAAATTTGATGATTCCGGTACTTGGAAAGTACCAGATTCTGGTACCATCAGATGGAAAATATCTTAGTTAATATGTCATTGTAGATGCTGAACTCCGAATATTTTTTTCAATACAGACTCAGGCTTCGTCCTGGATTTTGAGGCTTAGAAAAATGTTCATTAATTTTGAAAATTTGTCGATATCTCAGACTTCGACATTTGTTTGAGATCCCGATCTTCGGAATTATTGGGCCCTTGAAAATATCAAGACGCTGTCATCAGAACATGTGTTGGTCTTTTTTTTTATAGGGATTTCAGAACAAATAATTTATCACCGATGAACTTGGCGTGGACAGTTTAAAGAGACATTATTGAATAGAGCATTGAACTTGGTTTCATAGCCTAGTTAAACAAGCCGGAGGCAGCGGGTTCGATTCCCGATCCGGTCGAGGGAATATTTTGGATTGGAAATTTTCTCGACTTCCCTGGACATAGAGCATTATTGTGCTATTGCCACACAATATACAAATCCAGCATTGGTATTGGCATCGAAAGCTCTCAATTTTAACAATTGTGGAAGTGCATTTAGAATACTAAGTTGAGAGCACGCATTAAGCTAATATGCGATAAGCAATAAGCTTGAAATGCGAAAAAGATGAAGAATGAACGAACTAGCCTTTGACCACCAATTACTGAACTTAGAGAAACTTTTAAGATTCTGGGACATTGCAAGTTATGCAAGATTTAACTTCAAAAAGATTCCAATTCCCAGAATTGACCAAGAATAATCAAGATTCTCAAACTTAAAAATAAAAATGTGCCGGACTTGAGGTGTTTAATAATTGTGTTTAAGACCTTGGACTCCGATATCAACGAATTTTAAAAATTTAAATTTTAAATTTTCGTTAATCTTTGACTTAGAAAAATATGCGACTTTTCAGATTTAGAATTTTTGTCGATATGCCGAACTTAGAAGACAAATTATTTTTCAAGTTCACTATGTTGATTTTTTTCGAAAAACAATTCTAAATCTGAAAAGTCGTAAATTTTTCTTAGTCAAAGATAAACGAAAATTTGTTGAAGTACCTTAATTTTAAATATAATTTTTGCCTGGGTCTTGCCATAATCTTAGTCCAATATAAATTAAAAATCAATTGTTCCAATTTTAAGGCTCTGGTACTGTAAATATTTTTCCATCTTATAGGACTGAGACAAATATTGGAGTTATCGAACTTTGAAAAAATAAAATAAAAGAGATCTTCGACACACAAAAATTAAATAATTGCTTATATATTGAGTTGAGCCAAGAAATTAGACCAACATATGTTTGGAGAAATCTGGCAAAGTTTGAAATCAATGAAAATAAATTTAAAGGAAAAGATAAATTGTAAATAGGCAAATACAAAAATTTAAAAAAAATAGGTACTTGCAAAACTGATGAAGACAATTTCAGGATTTGACAAACTTATCACCAATATAGGATCTCAGAAAACTAAAATTAGGAGAATGAAAAGCATAATGAAATAATCATAACAGAGTTTGTTAAGACTCTTAAACTTAGATCAAACGACGTCTTTCTGCATTGAAAACGAATCTTACTCAGAGAGTGAGTTACATTTACTCATTCGTATGGAGCGTAGGCTACTCATGCGCTGAATCACTTACGCTTTTAGAAATTTCTCCATTTGAATGAGTAAAAGTGACTCATTCTCTAAGTAAACGTGACTCACTCTCTGACTTGGCCTCGTTTTCAGTGTTGTGTCCAACCGTTTCGGTTCGTGTCTCAACCGACATGCAAACGGTTGCTTAATCAAATACAGAAACCGGCATAACATCCTTTTTGGGCATTGATCCTTATAAGGACTAGAGCGTATCCCTCTGTCGGCCATCCCTCAAACCATCGTCCTTCGTCCTTCGCTTGCATGTGTAGCACGCAATGCTTCGGAGGGCACAGACACCAACCTCTTGTAGGTACGTGTGTACGGATGAAAGTGGGAATAAACATAAATGGGGGAAGGAACACATAGCAGCATATGTACATAATAAACAAAACACAAAAGGTACCCGTACATAATTCGTAGAAACGGGATGCGGCGTGTCCTGTATGAGTGCGCCATGGCAGCATATGCAAGTACTACAACACAAACGTACACTGCCGCAGCGAACGAGTCTGTTCTTTATTGCGCTTTGTGTTTGGACGGTTTGGTTATGTTTTCGAATTGCTGATGTTTGAATCACTGATTTCGCGTACATCTACGCTCAAGGAGATGCCTTTCTATCGAAGATATTGTACACCGATCAACTGTAAGCATTTGGGAAAATCTAATTCTAATTGTGCAATTTTCGCCCATTTCCATTTCAGCCTGCCAGAAGATCGTTCATCAGCGTTTATCAACCGGTTCGGTAATCACCCCAACCAACTCGCGACCAACGACGCCTCAGGGCACTCGGCTGGGGGTGGCCAGCTTTCATCCGACCGTTCCTAGTCCCACCAATGGGTTCTCCTCGTCAACGGGAAGCCCAGCCAGTGGACTCACGATGAGCAGTTCCTCACCAAGCCATCACAATTCAAATTCCCAACAGCAGCAGCAGCAACAGCAACAGCAGAATCAGGGAAATATGACCCTCCCGCATCGGCACCACGTTCTTTCCGCTTCGAGTCATCACATTCCTATCAAAATCAGCTCAGAGTTGTTGGGAAATGAAACTCAGCATCTGAGCCTATCGCAGAGGGATTCCCATCCGCCGCAGAAGTGGGGAACGATCTCGCATGGAACCTCCCAGCAGACCCTCCTGGCGCTGACCAACGAGAACAACAACATTGCAAAGTTTGTACCGCCAAGCCATCCGGTGTCGAGTGACAGTATGCAACCGTTGGGATTGATACCGCCATCGGGGAAGGACTCGGGGGGTGGTGGTGGAACCGGTAGTGGTGGGGGAGGTAAGGATAAGGAACTACCGACGCCAACCTCAACCCCGACCACGTCGAGGAAGAGCCGGCGAAGATCGAATCTGTTCATTCCTTCCTCGTCGAAGAAGGAACAACAGGATAAGATAAAAAATGGCGAACTCGGTAGCGGACGGGCCATCCCGATCAAGCAGGGTTATCTGTACAAACGAAGCAGCAAGTCGCTGAACAAGGAGTGGAAGAAGAAATATGTTACGCTTTGCGACGACGGACGGTTGACGTACCATCCCTCGTTGCATGACTACATGGACGACGTGCACGGGAAGGAGGTGTCGCTACAGTACGTCACGGTTAAGGTACCGGGACAGAAACCTAGAGGCTCGAAATCGATCATTACCAACAGTGCCCTGACGGGAGCGAATGCAGCACCGGCCATGAATGGGAAGATGACCGGATCGATAGGATCACAGGGAAGTAACAGCAATGGGTTGACCGAGGGTATCGGTGGCTTATCGTTGGCCAAGGACCGAAAGCTGACGGAGAAGGTGCTGCTGACGGCATTCGATACCCTCAGGGAACCGGTGAAGTCCAATTCCCAGACCAGTGGGGACGAAGGGATTGTAATCAGCAATAGCAACTCGCAGAGCTTCATCGGATCGGATGGCAATACGAGCAAGCTGGACGCCCAGACGCCGAATGTCAAGAAGCGACACCGCCGGATGAAGAGCAGCGGCGTGGGGAAGAACAACGAGTATGATGGTAGGTTTATAATGAAACGTGCGGGTTTTTTTTTTTTCTTCTACTAAAATCAACGATCTTTCCAATCAACGCAGATTCCGATGGGTTCGAGTTCTACATCGTATCGCTGGACAACAAGCAGTGGCACTTCGAGGCGTCCAACTCGGAGGAACGGGACGAGTGGGTGTCGGTGATCGAGCAGGAGATTTTCAAATCCCTCCAGGGCATCGAATCGTCCAAATCGAAACCGCTGAATCCGAGCGACATTGCCTCGATGCAGTCCATTCGGAGCCGGGTGCCGGGCAATGGGTACTGCGTGGACTGCGATTCGCCGAGTAAGAATTCTAGAGCATGCAGCAAGCTGGGCTCAATACTAAATTGTTGATTTTTTGTTGTTGTAGATCCCGAATGGGCCAGTTTGAACCTGGGTGTGCTGATGTGTATCGAGTGCTCCGGTGTGCACCGAAATCTCGGTTCGCATATCAGCAAGGTGCGATCTCTGGGGCTGGATGAGTGGCCGTAAGTATTTGTTACTTCTTCGTTGGTGCTTCTTAGTAATGTTGAGATTGTTTGTTGTTTGCAAGTGAAGTCAAAATATGTAATCCTGACGATTTACGGCGAATTTCAAACCCACTCCTAAGTAGACTTTCAATTAACCGGGAATCGAAAATAACAGGGGAAAACCTATTCTTAAAATGTTATACGGTGTAGAATCTAAACGCACATAAATGTATAAAAATTAATAATAAATGTAACGTCAATCAAAGGCCTCAATGTGATTCTTGTTAGCGTTTGCCTTCTCTAGGGAATAATTGCACTTATTGCTACCCAGTTCTCTGGGACAAGCCCGCTTTACTTATTTCTTAAAACATTTGTTATCACCTCGTCAATGGTGTGATTGTTGAGCAACGTTTTGATGCTATCATCCTCCATCGTGAGGGCAAAGAGAATCTTGGTGTTTTCACGCATGCGGGTGCTACAATCCCCGACTTCGGCATCCGCTGCCGGTTTGTCCACGTTTGATTACGTCGCTCAGGACATCCTGTACGGGAGCCGTTGGCCAGCCAAACTCCGTTAGCACTTCTTCATCGATCAGCACACACTAAAGCTCCGACACTTTTTTCTGCAGGGCATCATCACTCAAAAAGATGGGGATGGATTCCTCCTGTTCGACCTTGATCCTGGTCGGTGGCACTGCCGGAACACTATCAGCCTCTGCGGCTCGCTTACGCTTTTTGCGCTCTTTTGGTGGTTTCTCGACTAATCCAGACGCAACAGGGATATCCAGGCTGACCGGTTTTTCGGCAATTGGAACTAGGAGGGAATTTTCTTCGTTCGACGGTATATCTTTAGGTTTTACCGAAATACTCCGTTTCTGTTTCTTTATTTTCTTTATTTCAACCGCTACGGGTACAGGTTCAGGTTCAGGTACAGGTTCGAGTGTGGGTTCCAATTTTGGCGGTGCTATTTCCACTACATCCAAAACCTTAATCTCCTTTTCTTTTTTAACTACCTTAGGTTTTCCATTGATATTCACCAACTCGATGTCTTCAAGCGGCGTTATTTGATAGACTTCTCCGTGGATTTCCAGCATTTGTTCGTCCTCTTCGGGTTCTACTTCTTCTTCTTCCTGCTCGTCGAATTCTTCTATTTCTAACAGAACCCGTTGTTTTGGTGGAACATCTATGGTGGAGTCATCCTTTTCAGAAATGACCAACATTTCTTCAGGACAATCACGATGACGTGACCTCATATGTCTTCGTAAACAATCTTTACGTATGAACTTATGTTTGCAAATGGGACATATCCATGGTTTTCCACCTCATGGGTTCGCTGATCCAGCTTAAGCGCCGTTCTGGACACGAAAGATTTCCCACACTGCGGGCAGGAATAATTTCCTGAAACACTGTGCGTGTCCGGGTGACGGCTGAGATCCTCCTTGCGGGTGAATGTTTTCGAACAGATATCACATTCCATTGGAGCTTCCTTCCGGTGGACGTAACGAACGTGTTCCTCCAAACGCACTTTTCGGTTGAATGAGACTTTACATTCGTCGCATTCGAACCCTTTCCCGCCGGTGTGATGGAACATGTGCGAACGAAGCTGCGTTGCCTGGATGAAACGTTCACCGCAGATCGTACACTCGTGCGGTTTTTCACCGGTGTAGGTTTTGCGATGCCTGTTCAACGTCTCCCGAGTCGTGAAGGTGGCCGAACACTGATCGCAACGATAGGGACGTTCGCCGGTGTGCGATCGACGGTGCTTTCTCAACGCTCCGGTGGACGGAAATGATTTCGAGCACAAATCACACGGAAACGCTTTCTCCCCGGTGTGGATACGAATGTGAATGTTCAGTAAAGACGATTGATAGAACGCTTTAGGACAGTACGGACACTGGTAGTCACGTTTCCGTTTGCCTTCGCCCATGTGGAAGCGAAGATGCTCCCGTAGGTTATCGAAACGTGTGAATTCTTTTCCGCACACTTCTCAGGGAAGTAGTTCTTTGGGAACTTCCCCGCAGCCGGAGTGATTCTCCGGATTCGGATTGCAGTACTTAAAAAACTCCTCGCCCGGCTGGGCAATCATGGCTGCATTTTTCTCCTTTTGTAGAACATCGTTGAACTCGATGATCTTCTCCCGGCATGTTTGCGTATGTTTTTTGTAAACCTCGGGTGATGTAAAAGTTACATTACAAATTTTACATGTCCTGCCTGGTTTCATCTCAATAATCATTCTTCCATCCTTGGTTGCCACCAGATTTGGTTCGGAATGTTCTTCCGCCAGCGAATCGACATTCAGACCCTCCGTGTCCTGGGTATTTTCGTCGACCTGCACCAACTACACATCTTGCTCGGTAGCACCGGACACATTTAAGCGGAACTTTTTTCCCTTCTTAACGTGCACTTGTATTTCCCGGGACATGGTGGCTCTCTAGCAGATGCACTGGACTTTGCAATAAACTGAAATTAAGTCACACAATTTTGAACAACGAAAACCGAATAAAACTCAAAAACGAACCAGAAAACCAGGGAAGAAAATAAATTATTATCGCCGTTTCGTCACATCGCACTTTGACTGCCTATTTGCCAAGTCCTAGAGCTAGGGATTTTTTCTAAATAATTCCAGGTTTCCAAGTTTCAGACAGTATGCGTTCCGTTAACTTTGCTATCTCAAAAGCTTTCTGATGTCCTATGTCCGGCACTTTGAGTAACTTTGTATTTTTTGAACTTTGAATGCTTTTGTTACAGACGCCAGACAATTCTTAAACCTAATGCATTTGAAAAAATTACACAGCGTTTCCAGTGTTTGACCCCAATGCAGTAGGAAGGTTAAACCAGGTTTCACTATATGGGTAAACCTGGTTCAAGATTTAAGCGGAGGTGTTGAAATTGGCCCTTATAGTTTATCTCAGAATTTTCTAGGCATTATACACAGGATTCCCGTGCTTCACACCAGAATGCTCCGGGACTGTTTTTCAGATTTCCTTTGAAATTCTTCTCAAAAATGCCGTTGAGAGAATCTCTTTGAATTTTCATGAATTTTTCATTGGAATTCTTTGGAAACTCTTGTTAGAATTCTCTTGAAATTTTCTTACGAATCTTCCTGGAAATCTACTCAGAATTCTTTGGAGATATGTGCAAAATTCCCTTTGAATTATCACCTTTGCATTCATCCTGGAAATCCATTAAAAACCACTAAACATTCTTTATGTGTCTCCTAGGAATTCCCTTGAAACTAACTTCAAACTAGCTTGTAATTCAGCCAAGAATTTTATTTTTGAGCTACATAAAGACTGGAACGCGCAAAAATTGGTCGACAAAAAAATCGTTTCTTTCAGTCAGAATTCATATCACAAAAATCTTGTTATTTTTCTTTTAGTAGTTCAATTAATTTATTTACAGGAAAAATGTTCGTTTATTCTTTTGGTTTGCCCCGAATCTGAACTGCTGTGTCTTTCGCTCAACTCCATTAAATTTTGCACAGTGGTCGCATCGACCTTATTCGCCGCCGAACGCCAGTTAGATTTAAACTTCTGCTCGCGTTTTCCATGGATTAATTAGTTTTTTTTTTAGATTCCGTTCGAGCAAGGCCCAATACCGTTCGATAGCGTGGAGTTCTGGGCTGTTGGGATGGTTGTGGTATTTGGGTACCACAACCACGTTGTTCGCATCGTACCATCGTATGTTGCTTTAGGAATGGTAGCAGCCGCTTTTCCAGGCACTCCTGGACGTAGATCTCTTGATTGATGGTTCCCGTAGTAATGAAAATGCCGCGTTTTAGATATTTTTTCGGGAACTACGATAGTTTGATGGTTTTGAAAATTTCAGCCACCTTCCATTTTCCTGATGCGGTATAAAACTCCTGTCCCGGAAGCTGCTTGAAATCCGCCTTCACATAAAGGGTGATACGGTCAAAATTTGGTTAAGGGAAAACGCGTGTAAATCGGTGAAATCGTTTATTTAAAAAATCAAATTAAATTTCTTTTTCAAGTTCAATTAGTATAAAATTCAGGAAAAATATTCAGTTAGGCTTCCGCTTTTCCAAATCCGAATTTCCGGGCCTTACGCTTGACCCCTGCCATCAGATTTTGTACAGCCACCTTGTCCACCTTCTTCGCCGCAGAAAGCCAGTTTGCCTTGAACTGCTGCTCGCCCTTAGCAGTTTTTTTGGTCTTCTTTAGGTTCCGCTTGACAATAGCCCAGTATTTCTCAATTGGGCGGAGCTCTGGCGTGTTGGGAGGGTTCTTGTCCTTGGGAACCACCTGCACGTTGTTGGCGGCGTACCACTCCATGGCCTTTTTACCGTAATGGCAAGATGCCAAATCCGGCCAAAACAGTACGGAACAACCGTGTTTCTTCAGGAAAGGCAGCAGACGTTTATTCAAACACTCTTTCACGTAAATTTCTTGGTTGACAGTCCCGGAAGCTATGAAAATGCTGCTTTTCAAGCCACAGGTACAGATGGCTTGCCAAACCAGATATTTCTTTGCGAACTTTGACAGTTTCATGTGCTTGAAAACATCTGCTACCTTTCCCCTTCCTTTTGCCGTATAACACTCCTGTCCCGGAAGCTGCTTGTAGTCGGCTTTGACGTAGGTTTCGTCGTCCATTACCACGCAGTCAAACTTCGTCAGCATCGTCGTGTACAGCCTCCGGGATCGCGCTTTGGCCGTCGTATTTTGTTTATCATCGCGATTTGGAGTCACTACCTTCTTGTAAGTCGATAGTCCGGCTCGTTTTTTGGCTCGATGCACGGTTGTAGACGATACACCCAGCTTATTTGCGGCATCTCGGAGAGAGAGGTTAGGGTTTCGCTTGAAACTACCGGCAACTCTCTTTGTCGTCTCAGCGGCTTCCGGTTTTCGATTTCCCCCCGATCCAGACTTCCTGGCTGTCGACAAACGTTCCCCAAACACTTTAATTACATTTGTAACGGTTGATTTGGCAACTTTTAGCGATTTTGCCAACTTTTCGTGCGAGTAGCTTGGATTTTCGCGATGCGCGAGCAAAATTTTGATACGCTGCTCTTCTTGCTTGGACGGCATTTTGACAACTGAAGAGTGAATTCCAAAATCAAAATAGGAGCAACATTCTACACACACACACCTTCAAAATGAGGGGTGTTCAGGTTTTTTAATTGCAAAATTGAAAGAAATACGTCAAGTTGATATTGACCAAATTTTGACCATATCACCCTTTAAGTTTCGTCGTCGATGACGACACAATCGAACTTTGTGAGCAGATTCGTATACAGCTTCCGGGACCGTGTTTTGTTTGTAATCTCGGTTCGCCTCCTTCACCTTCTTAAACGTCGACAACCCGGCTCGTTTCTTTGCCCGCTGCACAGTAGTATGGGAGACATTGAGCTTGCCAGCGACGTCCCGGATGGAGAGGTTAGGATTCCGCTTATATTTCACCGCCACCTTCTTCGTCGTCGATGCCACGTCCGGATTACGATTGACGTCGCTTCCAGGCTTCCTGGCGGTCGACAGACGCTCCCCGAACACTTTTAAAATGTTTGTCACGGTCGATTTGACCACGTCCAGCAATTTTGCCAATTTGGCGTGTGAGAACGTCGGATTCTCTTGCTGCGCGAGCAAAATTTTGACGCGCTGCTCCTCTTGCTTGGACGTCATTTTGAAAACTGGAGAGTAAACGGTGAAAACTTATCAAAGCAACCATTGTATATACATTCAACTTCCAAATGCAGCATTTCAGGTTTTTGGAAGCATTTTTAACATAAATACACCAATTTAAAGTTGACCAATTTGTGCACCTTCCAGACTTTATCCCCAAAATTAAATTTCCTTTGAATTATTATTGATATCTCCTACTGGAAAATGTTTAGAATGTATCAGAAGGGACCCTCCTTGGCGTAGTATTACCAACAATCAATACGAAACTAACGATTTTAAATTGGCTCACCACTTTAGTAGCCTATTGGTCCCAAGCAAACGATTAACGTACACTATTCTAGTTGAAATTCTATTACTACACTATGTTTGTTTTGATTCGCTATGAAAGTTTGACAGATAACATCAGGGGTGTGTGGATTCATGCAGAACATGCAGGGGTGAGTGAAATAGCTTGCGACTGCTTGGGACCGTTGTTCTGGTACTGAGTGAGCCAAAAATAATAATGATTTTCTTCGGGACCCAGTGGTCTTAGAGTTACCTCTATGGTATTACGTAGCTAAAGTGTTGCATAGATAATTATTAACAACTTTAATTTGATTATTAGGGGCATTGTCAGGGTTGTATCGATCAATTTGTCGTAGTGTTAATTAACTTTGAATTCCCTTACCAAGCCCTCCCTGAAATTCCTTTAAATTACCTTAGATTTCTCTGAAATTCTCCTCTCATTCCCCATCTTCAGAACTACCTTAGATAATTTCTAGAGTGTTTTGAAGAAAATTATCTGGGTATTGCCATAGACAGTCGGAATCCCACGATGACTTTCTTAGATTGGTTTAAAGAAATTTTTGAACAAATCCTAAAGAAATCCTGGGAAATGTTCCAAGATAAATCTGACTAGGGAAAAAATTAAGATTCTAAAACTTCAGATAAGTTTTGATTTAAAAAGTTTGAGTTTTATCAGAGTTGGGAGGAAATCCTATACTAATATCAACATGAAACTTTTGTGCGATAATTTATAAGCCAGAGAAAGTTCTGAAGAGGATAGATTGATAGTACCTCAAGAGTACTGCAGTGTGAATTGAACAGAAGTTGAAATCGAGCGAAAGACCATTAATGCGACAATACTAATCAAATGCGCACTCCTTTACCCAACTCATGCATTGATGGATGAGGGGATTTGAGGAATGTCCTGCGTTTGACTGTCTGTGACTGTAGAATAGTTCTAGCGACGTTTATCCCTACCTAAAGCCCCACGTTTCCGAAAGCATTTCCAGGCAATGGAGTGTTATAATGCAATTCTTCTTTACCCAACTATTGTGTTGCTCTTTCGCCATGTAACACAGATTCATTGAATTATGTTGACAACCAAAACCAGTTATACAAAAAGGTTATATAGGTTATGTCTTCAAAATTTCTGCGGAAAATAAAAGCCTTCACAGGATTTAAAATGAAGACATGTCATCTAATCTGGCATCCCTGGATTTGTCTGACTAGATCTCCGGCCTTATCACGAAAATTTCTCTAAGCTTGTTCTACCAGCGAATAAAAATACACGTTCACCGTTTACCCATTTCTTGGTCCAACCGACACCAATTCAACACCTCGCACCGTTTTCTCTCTTCCCATTTAGTCCCGGCCACCTCAGCGTGATGCTCGCCATCGGCAACAGCCTCGCCAACTCCGTGTGGGAATCGAACACCCGCGGTCGGGTGAAACCTACCCCGGCCAGTTCGCGGGAGGAGAAGGAAAGCTGGATCCGGCTAAAGTACGAAGCCAAGGAGTTCCTGCCGGCCTTCAACCCGACGCCACCGATCGGTCAGCAACTGCGCGAAGCCGTCGTCCGGTCGGACATGAAGGCCATCATCATCCTGCTGGCGAATGCCACCGGCGAACACATCAATTCCACCGTCAGCGGTCGGGATCTGAGGACGCCCCTGCATCTGGCGTGCGCCATCGGGAACCTGGCCATCTCGCAGCTGTTGATTTGGGTGAGTTGTTAAATGCTTCTTCCATTTGTCGAAAGATCTTATAACCGAAATCCGATTTCTTCTGCAGCATCACGCCAACCTGAAGCACATCGACCACGAGGGCCGATCGTGTCTAACGTACGCCAAGGCCGCCAACTCGTTGGCCGCGGCCCGTCAAGCAAGCAATACCCCGCACCACGTGAACGTGGAAACCACCTCGGCGCTGGTCGAACTCCTGACCAGCCTGGGCTGCACGGATCCGGCTCCGTTCACGGCCAGCGGAACCCTTCCCCGGCGGAGGGAAACCATCGATCAAGGTACGTTCGAGAAATTCTCCTCGAACATCATCTGAGGCAAGTAAGTTAGGCTCTCTTTCTCGTGTGTAGTAAATTTAGACGAAAACCTAGTTTAAAATTACGAATATGTTCAACAAAAAAGAAGAAAAAACCAATGTGATCCCTCTATTTAAACAAAAGGAAGCAAAATATTCATCAAAGAAGGACGAATAGTTAAGGACCCCTATTAGTTGTTTAAGTTGCGTGACTCGGCTTACGGATTTAACTTAGGTGTAAGATTGGAGGTTCAACTGTTCGAAATTTGTTATTTTATGTAAAGATTTTTTCTGAGACTAATTTTATGTTGGATTATTTTTTTTCTGTAAATACTAATGCATAACTTATCCCCTCGAATGAACCTGTATGTAAATTAATGTGACCGGTTTAGTTGTAAAAGCTTTATATTGGCTTGATAAGTCTAGAGCAAGATCGCACCGCTTACTTAAAACAAAAGAGCAGTAAAATCACCGCACAGTACACTGTTGATTTGATCACTTTATTCCACAAATTCACAATTTTATCATTATTGCTTCTTTATAGTTCCAATTTCTTGTTATTTAGTTTATGTTGTTTCTACTAATCGAATTCATATCAAAGAAATCGCTTTCTTTTGTTCGTTACAACTTTTATCGACCCGGTACAACAGAGTGTTTAAGTCCTTATTTTACTACCTATATTACCTACCCCCCAAAGAATGCCAAATTGTAGTGTGCAGAGAGGAATCGTACTCTTAAAAACAGCAAACTAAAACTAATCGAATCTGCTTTGAAAAAAAAAACACTACCTTTAACGAGTTACGTTTAGCAAAAATTATCAAACAGAGAATTAACGAGCAGAAATTGCATAGTAGAAAAGAGCACCCTTAACCTTATTGAGGATTTAGATCAGAGCAACACAGAGAAATCGTAGCGTTACTACTAAACATTCTTATTATCAGAAAACACAAACGAAAAAGAAAAACAAATATCAGATCCTATTATAGTAATATATCAGCGCAGTTTAGAGATTGCCTCACGCCCCCCAATGAAGCGTCCCTCGAATCCTCGATCGAAAGAAAAAGAAAACCTCTACCTATAATGATGGCATTTCCGGTTAGACACAATTTGAAAGTAAGTTGATACCTAAATGATAGAGAAACCCAATCCTGCAACTGCTAAGTGCAAGAGTACCTTTTCCTCCCATCCCGCGCCGTTGGTGTGCTACAGCAAGCAAGAATAAAGCAGCAACAGAAATAGGATAGTGATTCAAAAATTATTAAACACCGTTACATAAACCAAAACTGAGAGAAAGTGACAGAACAAACAAAACCAACAAACAAACAAGGTAAACGCGACAGGTGAATGATCAACTTTCAATTCAAGTAAAATAGGCAAATTATGTTTGGAAGGAAAACGATGAAAACAAGTGGAAGATGTGTGTAGGTGTGGAAGAAGGAGGATACAAAGTGGAAGAAAATGCAAGCGAAAAATCTATGCGAAAATATTTAATACAAGCGGAGTTCGACTGTACGATGCCGGTTATGAAGAATCCATGGGGTGGAGCTGAAAACTGACAACGTGAGCATAATGGAAAAATGAACAGGTGCGTATACACTTGGATATTTAAATTATTAAACAATATTTGTCGGTTACTTTTTCGAAGGGACGTATTAGATTTTGTAAACAATGCATTTGATCGACAATTTGGCGGAACTGGTAGCTCGCCCACGCATTCTAACACTACCCCTACCTGTTAGTGGTGTTAGTATGCGGGGGCGAGCTACCAGATACTATTCTCCAGAAATTTGCGATTAAAGTCATTGTCAACGTTTGGTTGTTCCGCCTATTTCAATTGTTGGTCTAGATATATGGCTTGCCTGTTTTGTTGCAATATACATGGTTCAGGACATTAAATCATTATTGCCTTCCATTTCTGACAAAGCGTTATCGTTCGGCTTATTGATCGCTTGTCATTGTGTCATTTGGAGTTATTTTTGATTTTTTGGTCGCAGTAATTATGACCCGAATAGATTGAGAAAAAAGGTCCTATAAATAATATTTTTGGGCTTCAGTCCTGCATGAAGCACATATCTCCATAATATCTGGTAAATTTTCATATTAGGACAGTTTCATAATTTTACACCTTGCCAAAAATTATATGAAGAGTTAGTATATTTAGAAAAATTGTAGAAAATATTATCAGAAGAAACTTTGCAGAGAACGCTATCTATCCATTTGAAAAGGCAGTCAGCTTTCTACACAGGAGAACACATTTTTGAACTCTAAGAATTCTCTTTCAATTTATTGTACTCTTACTTAGAGAGTTCAACCAAAGAAGAATACTAAGATGAAACTGTCAGAAGAAAAACCTTCTATTTTATTGACCACTTTCACGGTCCCTTTCATCCAATGAATACCCCCGTATGCAAGGTAATTTTGTGAGTTTGCTGCCCCCTACGTAGAGATGAAATTTTGCGCTCTTTTTTATCAAAACAACCACACCAAAATCAGAGATGTCCCATTTTTTAAATTATTCGATTAACATCTAATCGATTATTTCTTGTTCGCTAGGTTGTCATTTTTCCGACCAAAACGATGGGTGATGATCCTCTGGAGAAGTTAATGCTTATATCAGCATGATATAACCGATAACAAATATTTTACTTTTCGGTTCGTCAATCGATTAATCGATTATTCGAATGAAGATCAGCCATCACTAGATGAATGTGAAACGTCATTTCAAATTTAAGGCCGTACATAAATAATTATACAATTTGAAAGGGACCGGGGCAAATCACAAATTACGTCCCCATGGTAACTGAAATAAACACGAGTACGGACCGGTTGGTTCAACTCTATGATTCTCAAAAGAAGTTGTTTAATTTTCTTTCCACAATTCTTTATAAAATAATTTATAGAAATCACAAGTCTGTATGATTTGACATGACATTCACTTCAGAATGGTTGTTCACGCCCAAACGCGAACAATAGTCAGTGACCGTCGTAAGCCCCACCCATTTGTTAAATTTCACTCAACCAACGATCGAGCAAGGCGAAACCAGAAGATGAAGAAGAAGCAGTACGATAGTATATAAGCAGCGAAGCTAGTGGCATTAGGATTAGTATGGTTTTAGTTGTCAACTGTATATAACAAGAGGAAAATAAATCAGTGAAGCTATCCTAGTTTTTTTTACAACATCCTCTGATCCGGCATTGTGTTCAACTGAGGAGGAGCAGTACACCGTTTTTAATACAGTCCACCGCTGGTTGAGTGCTTGCTGTCGACGGGCTTGCGGAATCCCAACCGTCCTTATCAGGGCAAGAAGAGTTTTTGTTATCCCAAGCGCCTGAGCAGAACACTCATTTTACGAAGACTTCCTGTTTGAGTGGCACCCTTTCCCGTTCCTGTCTTGTCAGGACACGATTAGTTTTGCCTCAAGAGAACTAGGAAGTCCCACCATTCCCTTCATTGGAGTCTGGTACGGCTCCGACATTGGTCCTTCGAGCCGGATAAGAGCAACGTTGTGCGGAGAAACCTACGAGAATCAGAGTTTCTGGAGGATGTTGGAAGAAAGCTAGTAGTGAGTAGTGAGAATTGGATAAGTAAAATGGACAATAAATAAAAAAGATACATTGAAGTGAAAAAGTGAAAGAAAGTGTGTTGTGAAAAGTGAAACGTCAAAATGCCTATCGACCACACGCCTAAGAAGCCCACTGCGGACGCCGAGAAGTTGCAGATGTTTATTCACCAACGTGGTCAAATTAAAGGCAAAGTGACTAAAATAACCAACAACCTTGAAAAGGCTAAAGATGACCCATCGCAAATCAGTGCATCGTTACTCAAAGTGTATGGCAAAAAGTTAGAAATGCATTACACCGAGTACACTGAAGCCCACCGTGAAGTGATTGCCATAACTCCACCGGCAAAAATGGAAGAGCAAGACGACAAGCTAGACGAATTCGACGTTCTGCACACGGAAGCGCTCGATCGCCTAGAGCGTCTGATGGAGTATTTTGCCAAGCCTACTCCTGTGGTTGCTATTCCTAGTGGAGCAGCCCAAGTAGTCGTGCAGCATCATCCCCTCAAAGCACCGATACCTTCTTTCGATGGTCGTGTGGAGAATTGGCCCAAATTCAAAGCCATGTTTGAGGATTTGGTCGTAAAAAGTGGTGATTCCGATGCCGTCAAGCTGCATTATCTTGACAAATCTTTGGTGGGTGACGCAGCTGGTCTCATCAATGCCAAGATGATTCAAGACAACAATTTCCATCAAGTATGGACACAGTTAAGAGAACAGTTCGAAAACAAGCGTGTCATAGTGGACACCCACGTCGATGGATTGATCCAGTTGAAACCGATGATGAAGAGCAACTTCAAGGATCTGTTGGAATTAACGAAATCATGTGAGCGTCACGTCGCAGGACTGGAGTACCAGGGTCTGGCAGTGGACGAACTATCCGGGGTCATCATTACGAAGCTATGGGAACGTAAGCAAAAACATGGTGAGTTACCCAAGTACGAGGATACGTTGGTGTTCTTAAAAGGTGAGTGCCAAATTTTGGAGCGTTTCCAACATTCTCGTCATCCTGTTGTGGCGAAAGAGCCTCAGTCCAAACATTCCAATGCAAAACCTGTGTATCAGAAGGCACACACTGTCACGTCCTCTAATTCTTCGAGTCAATGTAAATTTTGTGGTGAAAACCACCGCCATTTTGAGTGTCCCATTTTTACCAAATTGCCTATCGCAGAGCGCATAAACAAGGTGAAGCAATTGAGAATTTGTTTCAACTGCCTCGGACTTGGCCACTGTGCCAAGGATTGTTCTTCAAAGCGTAATTGTTCGAAATGTCACAAGCGACATCACACCCTCCTGCACGAAGAATCCTTCATGAAAACCCTTGAGACCGAAACCCTCCCTGAAAAGGATTCTTCCCAGGACGCTGCTGAAGTCAAAACAGTTCCCAAAATCGTTCCGTCAACAAGTGCCAACACATCCTGTTCCTGCAACCATTCTCAAACCGCGAAGACCGTGATGCTGCTAACTGCTATCGTGAATATTGAGAGTGCTGATGGTCAGTTAGTTCCTTGCCGGGCAATGATGGATAGTGGCTCCCAAGTATGTTTTTTGTCCGAGACGATCGCCAACCGTTTGAAGATTTCCCGTGAGCCAGTGAACGTGCCAGTTACTGGAATAGGCGGAGCAAAGATCTACGCAAGAGAGAAACTGACAGTGACGATCCAGTCCAGGTGTTCCAATTTCTCCACTGATATGGAATGCATTGTGGTACCAAGGGTAACCGGTACCATCCCTTCCGTTAAAATAGATGTTTCATCGTGGCCAATTCCTACCGGAGTTCAATTGGCAGATCCTACATTCCACGTGCCTGATAAAATCGACATGCTAATCGGCGCTTCAAAGTTTTTCACGTTGCTGAAGTCTGGTCAGATTCACCTAGCCGATGGTCTTCCTGAGCTCCATGAAACCCATCTCGGTTGGGTCTTCGCTGGAGAGATCAACAACGATGCTGCTGATACCGTAGTGGCCCACCCTGTTTCGCTTGATTCCCTAAGTGAGACGATAAGTCGGTTCTGGGAAGTTGAGGATATTTCACATTCAGTGAAGGAGGAAACAGAGTTAAATATGTGCGAGGAGATTTTCCGTTCAACACATCGTCGGACGTCAACTGGACGTTACATGGTTTCACTCCCCTTCCGAGAAGATATTGCATTGCTTGAGGACAACCGATCCGTTGCACTTCGTCGTTTCCTAATGCTCGAGAGACGGTTCAAGAAGGATCCCACGCTGAAGAAACTGTACTCTGAGTTTATTGCTGAGTACGAAGCATTGGGTCATTGCCATGAAGTCGATGAAGCAAACGATGTTCCTTCTCAAGGTCGTTATTATTTACCACACCACGCAGTGTTACGGCCAACCAGTTCGACGACGAAGCTAAGAGTGGTGTTCGACGCTTCGGCCAAGCCTAGCCCGTCAGCCAAGTCTCTAAACGAGGTACTTCAAGTCGGAGGCGTTGTTCAGAGTGATTTGTTAAGCATTCTTCTTCGTTTTCGCATACCCGTCGTAGTATTCACCGCTGATATAGCAAAAATGTATCGGCAGATATTGATAGCTTTGGGCCATACTCAATTCCAACGGATTTTTTGGCGGATGGAACCCAACCAACGACTACGAGTTCTGGAGCTGCTAACCGTAACGTACGGAACAGCTTCGGCGCCTTTCCTTGCCACCAGATGCCTGGTTCAGTTGTGCAACGACGAAGGTAACCGATTTCCTCTTGCGTCCAAGATTCTCATTGAAGACTGTTATGTCGATGACATCCTCTCTGGAGCTGACAGTGTAGAAGAAGCTGTAGAAGCACAGCGCCAGCTGCAAGAATTACTCCAACTTGGTGGTTTTCCTATCCACAAGTGGAGCTCAAACTGTCCGGAATTACTGAATCAAATCCCTGAGGAAA